AAAAAAAAAAAAATCCGTTGAGAAAGTCGTGACTGCCTTGAGTGTCCAACTTGAGCGCAAAGAAGTTCGGGATGGAGATGAACACACTAGACTTGTGGCAGAATGTATCAAAGGGGGTGTTGAAGAGAAAGTTGCTTCAAACCTGAGTGTTGACACGCTACGACAAATAAAAAAAGGCATTGACAAGAAAAAAAAGCTTGCGGATGACAAAATAATAGCTGACAAAAGCACACCGTTTGGAATGTACGATCATCAAAAAGGTGGAGCCATGCCATCGAAAGGCTCAATCACCGGTCGCGAAAATGACCAGACTTATGGGGAAGACAAAGATGGCCGGGTGCTTTCGGCTGCTTTTACGGTCAAAGTAGAACCAGACGGCTCTTTCAAGTTTTTGATGGTTTCTCCCTCAGGTGAAAACGCTAACTTGCCTATCCCTCCCAAGGGGGGAGTTGCCATTGGCGAGACTCCAGCTAAAGCAGCGAAGCGTGAAACTCTTGAAGAATCAGGTGTACGTTAACATTTTGATCGAATCACATTGTTGTTGTACTAATTTGTGATACTGCAGCAAGAAGTTCAGCTAATACGTGGACTTCATGAGTTTGATTTCACAAAAAAAGTAGATAAAAAGATTGTCACGTCTCATGTTCATTTTTTCCTCGCGGCGCACATTGGCAGTGCTCCTACGTTTGCTGAAAATATGCGAGAAGTTTACTGGGTAAGGACTCAGAACATGACATTTTCAGCTACATTTATTTCTCATAGCATGTTTTCTTCACAATACCAACAGATCGGCCCAAAAGATTTCTTTTTGATACTTAAAAACGGAAAGCCACCCATGTCAACCTTTGCCGAAACACTCGAAGCTCAAGCTGAAGGCTTTAAAGGTACGGAGAATCCGCTCTCTCTGTTCAATGAAAAGTTCCTCACTTTAGAAGAATGACGAGCAAGTATTCACTGTGTGTTTCTCGCATCTCCTAAATAAATATTTCAAGGTTGTGCATTTTTCTCGTGCTTAATAATTAAATCAAATTGGTTTTCAGTTGAGAATGTCATGTGCTTTAAATTTAAAGTCGAATATAAGGGAGCAGTAAACCTGCAACATGCATGAAAGGGACAATATATCACAGCCGCGATTTAAAGTGTGATTTTGGAGTAGAAGAACAACTGAATGAGCTAAATAATATTGTGTCAGTACGTCATGTATTGAAAAATACTGACGCTTTAGGTGGATAGTCTAGGGTATTTCTAACTGAAGATTTAGGAATGATGTTTTAGTAAACTTTAGAAAATTTTGTGAAAAGACAATCGTACATCTGATTCGATAATCAGGTCAAAATAGAACAGATTTTTGTGCAATTGATAAGCTGAAATCTAGAACCTTTCTAAAATGATATAGACATCTACTCGTTTGAGTTTGAAGTTGATGCACGAAATAAAACACAATTCAACTACAATTATCGATTGGGAGAAAGGTTGGCAGGTGAGAGATCGGCAGGTAAGTTTGTTTCCTGCAAGCGTCAAGCAAAAAAGCTGACAGAACCGATGGAAACCCCGATGGATGCGTGTAGACTAACAAAATGATTAATGATCGGTATGTACAAGTTTAGTCTCAACCCTATCACTCTCAATTTCATCTCAGTTTGCTGGCCTCGCTTATGATCAATAAATGTTTTTGTGCGTTGACGAGAAAAGACAATGTAGAATATTAAGTGTTTCATCCCGCTTACGTATACAATGTGTTAGTTTGTATAGCCGTCGTGGCAACAGAATAATTGTGTATTGCTTGCTTGAACTAAGTGCAGTGTAGATATCTTTTTGCGGAACAATTTCAGGTTCCACGCGCTGGGAAACACGAACTTGTGCAGGCAGCTTTTCTTGCGGGTGAGAAATATGGCTACCCGTTCCAATTGGTAGTACTTATCATTTATTCGACGGCTGAGACTAGACAAACTGTTTTCTCTGGGGCAACAAGACAAGTTTGACACGCTATTGATTTATTTTTATGGAAGTGATGATATATCAGCGCAAGGACCGGAAGTTTCAATCGGTGACCTGTACTGGTGTAACACCCTCTAGAGTGCTTCAAGCAGTTGTCGTCGAGTGCACAACAAGCTTTCACTATGATAATTTATATAAAAGGATCGCCCCTTCGGCTTCAAAAACAAAAAATCGTTTTTATCTGATTGCAAACTTCACGCAAGGAGACAGCGAACCAAACGACAGTTGGTTCAGAACGTCCAAATCAAAAGCAATCTTGACACTGGAGGTGTGGAAAGGAGGGTGTCGTGAGTACCACCCCACAAGGCCTCTGTCTACGCTCAGGATTTTTGCTCACCCATCAAGGGAACAGAGTATTAGCGGAATGTGTTTAAAGCTGAAAACTATATTGTTACTATGTTGACAATTTTTTGTGGAAGGTTGTACAATTAGCATATTTGTGGGCGGATTCCGAGCAACTGCGGCTTGCACCGAGATCGTCCACTCCCACCTAAAGTCTTAGAAGATGCGCTATGTATATGGCATACAATCTACGTCATGTTGAAGTACAAGAGATGAAAGATTCGCAAGCGCACCAGACTCAGCCATTTTGCAAAGATAATCAGAAAGTTCTTAGCTGCCAAACAACATCGCGGTATTCACACGTGTTGAACATATCATGGCAATAATACACATCTGGACCCTTTAAACGGCCTAAGCTTTCTTTTGTGAGGTGAGATGGGTCAATCGTTCAAGCTGGAGGAATCAAGAAGTCCCTTGCATATTTTGGTAGGTGCAGGACTGTCTACTGAGAAAATAAGAGTTGATTGCGCTTCGATGCGGACGAGGTATTGACCCGAAAGAAAGCGAGTATAATTAAAAGAGATGGATACAACAACCCAGGATTGTGGGATGTTAACATCAATGCTCGACGCTTTATGGAGCCTTAAGCAGTTCTAGCAAATTTTGTAGTGCTGTGAGGATATTTAGGACGTGCAAGTGTCAGAAATAATAGACACTACGCGGGTGCAGTCAAGAAGCTGAATACAAATACGATACTCGTGCGTCATCGCAGTATAACACTTGTGACTGTGTCGAAAGTATCCTCTCGGTAAAATCTGAGCAGTGTGACATTGAAGAACGCAGGCTTGTGTCTGACCTTTTGTAAATGCGATATCATATGGGGAGCTTGAACAGCGTGGACCAGGATCTCTAAATGAGCAAGCAGTCTTGCATCTTATTAAATTTATAGTGAGTCATAAAACTGCCTTTGCTAGATGACAGAAGCGCTTTGGTGTGGGCATAAAGCGACGACCGCTTTGGTGCTGAAGATTAAATTGGAGTCTCTCTTCATCATCCCTTTCTTATTTAAGTCTTCTCCTAGACTTTCTTCTTCGACGTATTACTGCTGCTTTGAAATGGCTTGCTTTGAGAGATCTTTCCGTCTCCCTCCAAGAGGATGATTTTCGCGGGATTTGCCCGCGAAAAGTACTCGAAGACCGTGAGCGTGTAGTCTAAGCAACTGTATTAGCGTGACGGATCTAAAGCGGTCAGAGTCTTCTTCTTCTTCTGGCCGAGACGCCGCTCGTTGTAGAAGTTGATGATGTCATTGGCCCGCTTTATTGTTCGCTCCAGCTGCACGTCCATTTCTTTGACTTGTTTCGCAAGCCCAGACGGCCGTCTATGAGCCCCGCTTTAAAGACCTTGTTTGTCAGTAAGAAACCCGGGACGAGTTCCCAGTAGTCTGCAAAGCTGCCCGGTTATGATTCTCGCAAAGTGCCACCAGCAGTTGCTTCTTTATCAAAGACGTTTCTTCTTTGGCAAGCAAATGCGTCGAGTTAAGCCTTCGCAGCCGTCTCATATTGTCCACAAACACCTTACAGATCTCAATAAAGACTGCTTCATATACCTTCAGGATCCCATGAATCCTAGAATTCTCTAGAGTTTTCTGGCAGCAATGCTGACAAAGATGAAGCAAACTGTCTTGGCCTTCTTTGCTTCAACGCCCAAAGCTATCAAAACACTAGCGGGCGTCTTCAAGCAGCCCGAGAGCGTACGAGATGAAGCCTAGCTTTCCTTTGCGAATGTGGCCTTGCAGTACTATACAAAGCTGCTGGTGGTTGCTGTTGCTGCTACTGGGGCCGTTCTTCTTCATGAGCAAGCTTCATATGAGACTCTGCTAGCGAGTTTTACGCATAGGAAGCCATTTACGCCTCTTTCGTTTCTTTGAAATAGTGTGTAAGAGTTCCGCAAGCTGACCACCTCGTTTTTATATATCTTTATAGCCAGAGGAATACCATCGTGCTCGCAGCCGCACCGGCTACACTTCTGACATGTGCCACATCTAGAAACCTTACAAATGCATGCAAATGATTGCCCTAGCGTATTGTTGTTGGCGCTACCAGGCAGTCGAGCAACAGCAGCTTTCCTTCCCTAATGTCTGGCAGCAGCACTATTGAGTCGGGGAGATAATACGATTGTGCGAAGGAAAGATGCACTGATCGCCGCCCACGATGCGAAAAAATCTGAGTCAGTGACGAAGACGCACAACATGAGAACTGCGTTATTTAATAATGGATAAATTTTACGCTTAATCGCTCATTCGTCACTTTCATGACTGTTAAATCATACACATCTTCTCAAATAAGTGCAGTGATCAACCGGTGCGAAAGCCCACAATGAATCCTGCAGCAAATCCACTAATAGCGGGCAGACCAGATTCCGACGCTCTCATTGCTAATTTATAATCCTTAGTGTCAACCACGCCGTTCTATAAATATGATAGCGAGATATATAAGTGACAAGCTCACACGACAGCAAACCACTTCACTCAATACCTTAGCAAGATCAAAAAGCTTCTTGACATCACGCTCCAATTTCTTGCAGTTGACGCTGAAGTATCCAGAGTAGTTTGCATATTGCAAAAGCATGAATAGTGAAATAATAGCCACGGCGCCTATCTTGGACACTTTCTTCAGTGCAAATCCTATAAACGTGCCCATGCAGAAGCCCCAGGCAATCTGCCCGCCTTTGCCTGCGACCAGAAATTCCTCCACCCGCTTTCGCTCATTGTTATTTTCAGATAGAAATGCAGCAAGCTGCGCAATGGCAACAATAGACAACTCCTTTAATTTCTTCTTGGTCCGTTCAACTGTGTCCTCGTCGTCTTCGTTACTAGACGCGCACGTCGTGAGATGCTGTTTTTCCAAGAGCCCCAGAGCACCAAAACCTGAGATTGCCACAGCCGCAGAATTCCAGTAATTCAGGACATTAGCATTAGATCGTTCGTAAATGCATTGCTCGCGTTGCAACTCAAGGTTTCTGGTGCGTACGTGTACCTTGGTTAGAATTATGAGTTGTCTTTGCATGTGAGCGAGCTTAAATCCTACCTAAAGTGCAAGATTACTGCGGCGTTGCGCTGTGCATCCTTTGCATGAAACTTGAGCGGTATAGTACGCGTCCGCCTAAGGGTCGTTAGAAGATTGTTGTTACGAATTAGAGCGCTGCTCACGAGGGTACACAGCATGTTTTAAACTCGAACATGTACAAATTTGTCAATTACTATTGACAAATATAATATATGGAAGTCGCAACTCCATGTAAGGAATACATATATAACTAGTAAAAGAATTCAAACCACCTGTTAGTGATGCTATAAAAAAAAAGCCTGCCTAAGAGATTTGAGTTATTGAACCTTCGACGTTTGACTTGCCACATAGATCGCACAATTATGTATGAATCTAACAAACATGCTTCGAACAAATAGCAAAGTTTAATTAAGCTGCTTTGCATCTCGTATTGGCATCATGTAAGAAAAATACGTCTCTTGAGGTTTTAACTTTTGTAGACGCTGGACTACCAAGTTTACTTGACGATAAAGGACGCTCGTAAATCATTATAGATGTCAATGCTCAAGTATCTGTCATTTCAGCAAAGGTCCGGATTTCGAGCTGCATGTTTGTGGGTTGGGGTAATAAGCTTAGAATTTGGTTGAAGAAGGATATCACACTATTGTATTAGTCTTAAATTTACGAGAACGCCCGAGTCCAAGACCACCTGAATCACTGCTGTGAAGCTACATGCTACAGTAGCAAAACCGAATCTTCGGTGGGCAACGAGCCGATCAGCTCATTTAAATATGGTAGTGGTAGAGATAGCTCGGCTGATAGACGTGCGTTGATTCTTGCCACTGAACATTCATGGTTTTCCCCGGTGCAATCATATCACTATGAAACTGGAGCTCTTTTACACGCTCGACTCGTTCATGTGCTGATTGAGACTGTATGGTGGGCCCCGATCCGTTAATTTTGGTGGCTCAACAACTATTTTTGGTGATCTCATCAAATAGCATCCAAGAGCCATATTACGAAAAAACGCTCGATACAGCAAGTGGACGAGAGCGAATAATTTTAGTACGTCACATTGAGGCGGTCACGACCGCGTCCATACATTTCTAGCAGACGATTGACAAACAACCATGGAAAAAGCTTCACGATGTGCAGGCTGCGGATGCGAAAACACTGATGGTTGAACATCAAAACTTATAATGTTTACAGTTTTATGAAATTTTATGGAATATTGTCGAGTATTCGTGAAGTTGATGCGTGTTGGACCTCGCGACTCAAGCAAATTATTCGTTGCACTTTCGAAAAATGCATCGAATTTATTGTACAAAGTCTTATGAAAACATGACATAGTTATTAAACATAGCTCACAAAATAGAACCTCCTTGGGTTCTCAAAAGGGACGCAATCATAGTGGTTAGACTGCGACATGCGCCGTCTGCCTTTCATGCGTCTTGTCACATCTACAGATCAACCTCGTTAGTCCTATAGTGATTTTCGTGTTGCACGGATGATTGAGTACGTTGAGGTTGCAAGCCACGAAGGGGTGGTCGATTGTCATAGGTCATGCTGACATTTGACGGAGTCTCATGAGAATAATGACGACTGTCGTGCACCTTTGGAGTTGCGTTATCACCCAACAAAGCCAACGAGCCACCCAGACTTTGATTTACATTACCATAATATTGTGGCTCACCACCTAGAGCAAAAAACGTCTCGGAGCCTTCTCGAGCGTTCGTTGTCTGGATAGTGACCGTCTTGTCATCTTTTGAAGTGCCATCACGCTTTAGTTTCCACGTTCGGTAGAAAATATACACCTGGCGAATCATCAGACACAAGAGCACAAGCACTTGAAGTCCTACAATAGCAAAGGCAACACCTTCGCGCAGATCATCAGGAATACTCTCCGTGAAACTCGTGGCACTGGATAATAAAAAGAAACTCAAAAATAGCGCCGAGATTTTGATAATGATGACAAAGCTTGACGTCTTTTGCACAAATGCTGTTGGATACGGCTGTTTGATCTCGAGGTACAACAAAAACGCAATGTGAAGCACAATAAGTACGACAATCTGCCATAGTCCTTCGATCCAGATCATGCCAGTTGTCATGCCACACAGCAATGCTAAAAGCAACTTTGGGGCAAAAAAGAATCGCCCTTCAAAGCTGTGTTCATCATACAACGGACCATATCGATTGTGAAACTTCTTGTCAAAATGATCTTTCGTACCCAAATCTCGCAATTCATCTTCGTTATTCTTGATAACAATTACTCCGTACAAGATGGTCCCAAAAGCAAGACAAAGCAATGTGAGGATGGCCAAGAAAAAACTTACATCAAGAGAGTTGCGGTCAATACAATAGCAAATCTGGTACATGGCTGTCGCGCCGACCACATACTCTGAAAGAATCAGAATCATCATCAAGACGCCAATCGCCTTATCAAGCCATTTTAAGCTAAAAGTTGGAAAGTCTTTGACGACAAAGTAACATACACTCATCGCAAGCATGTACATTCCAAACACGATGGCCACCATACAGGCAATTCCCGCAACAGCCACGTAGAAAAGCATGCCAGCGTCGACGCCAATCAAAGCTGCGTACTTTTCCATGCCTTGTACATTTGCAGACGAGTTTGAATGGGATACACCGCTCATACTTCCAGCAGTTTCCAGCCGACGTGACGAATTTTCGCTCGAGTCGTCGGCTGATATGTTCACTTTGCCAAAGGGTAGAAACGTAAAGGACGCAGGTGCCATTTTTTTCCCCATATTTTCCATAAAACGTGGTCGGGCGTCAACGTTCATTTGAGTGAGCATAATGGAAAATTGGCAGATGTCCACAGCTGCCATAGTGATTCCAACACTGGCAGCAGCCGAGACACCCGACGCGACACTGGCTGAAGTGCCGCCGACAATTCCACTGGCAACCGACATGACACCACCAGCAACGACCGACACAGTTGCAGCACTACTACCGATCGTGGTCGAAGCGATTCCAACTTTGTCAACAGGGGACTTTTTTTTGCCGTCGGGCCAGTGGTTTGCGTCTTCGAGACCTTTGTTTGCAGGCACAGAGTAGTGTGCAGCCGACGATGTCGATGTATCAGTAGATGTCATTGAAGAGTCAATTACACCAGCGCATTGACAAGCCCCAAAGGATTCGTCGGAAGTGTAGTCGCATTCGGTCACTGCAGCAAATGTGAGGTTAGAAAACGGCTGTTGCACAACATCAATGACGGATAAGGCTGCCTCTTTGCTTGCTAAGCTCATGAGCGTGATGAAGTCTAGATTGGCGTAGATATCCGAGTTGATCCCGTCCGACGCAGTGTAGTCCCATGTACCATTATGACAAGCCGGAAAGCGACAAACCGACATGCACGTGGCCAAGTCGAAAATAGCGGTACCCGACGATGTACCAGAATAAATCGAGCACTCAGTAGATGCAGCGGCAGACATTACATCAAGCTCAGTACCTCCACACGTGAGCCCCATCTTCGACCAAGATTCATAAAATGTCGAGTCGCAGCTGAACTCGATAGTTATGGCTGAAAGAGTGTTGTTGGTAGTGACGACATCATCTGTCGTATCGGGCGTGTTTACCGACTCGGTCAGATCTGTCGAATCCATCGTAGAAGTAGTCGGTGTCTTCGTCGTGCTATTCGTAATAGTATCAACAGACGGTGGACTCTTCGTCGTCGGGGAAGACGTAGTCGTTGTAGCTGGAATTGTGGTAGGAGCTACCGACGTACTATTTGATTTCGGTGCTTCGAGAGGAACTGTGGGTGCGTCATCGGCACTTTCATTTGACGCGTTGACGGGAGATCTTGCAGCAGTTATATTTCTACTAGATCCTACCGTCGAATTACCAGCACTACCGGCAGCTATCGTTGTCTCACCAGCGTCAACAAGCAGACGACGACCATCGTCAGACCCTGATGACGGTGGCGTAGAGGTACTATTTGTCGCTGTCGACTGCTTGATCGAATCATTCGTTGACGAAGAATTTTTTGCTGCTGAAGATTGAGGCACGTCTTTTGTCTCGCTTATCTTGTCACTCGAGTCATTTGAAGTGTCTGACGACGTCGTTGTTGAGGGAGTCTTGGTAGTCGGCGTGGGGGTCTGACTCGGCGACTTCGTCGTTTCAGACCGCGGTGTCGATGGTTTCAAACTGTCTTCTGACGAGTCTCCTGTTGTCGCACTTGTCGATTCTGTGTCGGAGGAGCTGCTTGTGCTGTCGGAGTCGGTACTATTTTTTTCATAATCGATGTCGGACCCATCGGTAACAGTGCGACTCACTTCGTTAGACTGTTCAATCTCATCGTCTAAGTCGCTGTCGGGAGTTGTGGTGGGAGACATAGTAATGGCAAGACTGGTCGGTAAATTCGTCCCTGTAGGCATCGAATATCGGAATACACATGAGACCGAACCGGCTGACAAACCATCGCTACCTGATGACGATGACATCCACGTCGTCGTGGTCTTTTGCGCCACTGAGACCGACAACACGACGGCGCTGACAATTGATATTGAACAGATGCGCATTATGTCAAGGAGTGATGTTCAGCCTAGAAAGAATTTACACTCTGCACGAAAGCTGCAACTGATTCCGCACAGGTTGCAATACTCTGATATCCTTATCCTGTCGTTTTCAGGAAGTACACTGTACACAAACACACACGCAGTCACTAGAGTTTGAGCGGCTACCGTAATTCTCTAGTGGCGCCTTTGCAAAATGGCGTAATTGCCAGATTGGTAGGAGAGCCAGCGTTGGTAGAGGAGAGTGTTTGTACGATGGGCGTATAATCTGTAGGAGTAGGGAAACACTGGCTCCAACACTGCAAGAAGAAAGTTGCTACTTTACGGTCGGTTGCCAAGTGAGAGAAATTTATATGTCAGACTTGAAGGCCACCCCTTATGCTTTGTCACATTAAAAATTACTACTTGAAAGATGCATTGCTGAATGAACATGGTGTCACTATGAGCTTGAGCACGCAAATAAAAGTGATAGAAGATTGACGGTCACGCTCCAAACATGATCGAGGAATTTATAGACATCTGATTTCATGGGCCTACCGCGTGCTGGCAACAGTTGGTTGCTACGGTGTTTTGTGAAATTAAAGCAATTTTCACTATCGAGAAGCTGATGGTTAAGCCATTGGAAAAAAAAACTTACACATTTCTTAAACAAAAAAGTATATATTAGCAATGAGCAAGAAATTGTATTTCTGAAACTCCATACACAGGTGTCAATTCCAGCCGTAAAAGGTGTTTTTGAGAGAAGCTTTTGTGTGACCTAGCCCTACCACAGTGTGCAAGATCGCAAGTAAGGCGATGTTGCTGTTCATTAAGTCTCCAAATTTTTTAAACAACACTACTTCATTTCACGATAATCTGATGTAGTGGACATCAAATCTTAAAATTACGTTCGATCTTCCATATTATCTAACCAAAATGTAACCTCGTGACAGTCAATTCATCAACGACAAAATCGTCGCAACAGACGTGCGTCAACATCGTTGATTTGTATTTTGAGTATCTCAACGAATTGTGGGTAGTCATATTTTAGCAAATTTGGTCATCAATACTATTCGACTTAAAATAGGCGTAACCATTTTTGTGGTGAAGATGCAAGCTACCAATAAAACTTCTCATGAAGATAAATTCGTGCCAAAGCACAATCATCTAGGTCGGATAGAAACGATCATGAGTTGAAGAAAAAGCATATTTAAATTTGATGGTGTGCTGTAGGCACAATCGCCGAGCGACCGACAATTTTTAAAAGAGTAACGATGTAAGGAGCCGCCCAAGGGGTTGTGCAACCGGTATGATCCGACCGCATTCCTGCATATCGTGTAGGTAGCTCACAGGCATGCCCTGCTAAAGACATTTAAAGCAACGACAGTTTTTCTTTTTAATACACCAGCTACAAAAGACAAAGCCTACTTTTAATCCTTGCATCAAGCGTTCGATTCGAGCTTCTCTTCAAGTCCTCTCTTCCGTTTCGCCTGACCCACCGCATTTCCTTCGCGCGCCTCTGCTTCCTTCGCCAATATAAGCTTCTGTGAATAAGGTTGAACATCTACAGCTTTTGTAAGAGCAAGTCTCAGCATTGCTTTGACTCATCAAGAAGCTTGAAGACATGTTGGGCATCGTAAAAGTGATAGACATTCAGAAGATTTTATAACGAAAATTACCAAGAGAAAACGTTCGTTGATTTCCCAACACGACAAAATTTTGTATGCGCTATTTTTTTCTCGCACACTCTTCCGACACGAGGGCATCGACTTTCCCAAGCTCGCTACCATTTTCTGATGAGGACCAGTCGTCGACTGAATTAGGAGTGGCCATATCGTTTGCTTGACAATTGACTTGTGCTTCTGCTGCAAGGAGCCTGGCCATTGCCTGGCTGACTGCTGCAAATAATACACAGCAGAGTGCGCCATTTTACAAACAGTCGTAGCTCGTTTTAAGCTAATCAGAGTTGCTTTGCCGTATCGTGGACGAGGGAGCCAAATCGAAGTAGTCGTTGAAAGTTTCCGATGAATACGATGGCATGCATTCTCATCAAAACGTACCCCTCTGTTCTCAATGTATGATAATAAACGAGAATTCAATCTAGATTTTTATTCGTAGCGGCGCCAAATAGAACATCATGCGCCCAGTTCTTGTGGCACAACTTGTCGATATGACTAGATAAGTGCCGAGTGATTTGTCTGTACATTCGTAGCGCGAATAAAACAATGAAAATGCATTTTCTAGCAACACCTTCAAGATGTTGCACTAATCAAGTTGGAGGCGTCTCGGGCCTTAACATGATCCACTTCCAAGGCTAATTCTATAATCAATTGGCATACTACTGTGATGAGCTTTGCGAAGGAGTGTGCATATATATTTGAGAACACTTCAAGCATACAGCAAGATAAAACCTGGAAGAAGGTGCAAAGAGCTATAATACTGTCGATGCTACGAGAATGGCACCGAGACTCAAGCCGCCTCCGAGTTTACAGGATGGGCATACGTAGACATTAATCACATGGAAATAAAGACGCCTATTGAACTTGAAAAGATTTTGTGCTACCGCAGTCGATCCTGCTGACATGTTTCCGTCGAAAGCCCTCAGCCGATTCACGATATCCAATACGGAGTGGCATGAAAGCCCGGTGCGACTCCCAAGAATAGCATTCTTTTTGTCTCTTTTTGTGAAGAGGAGATACTTCACCTGATCTGCTTTTGAAAAGCTGGTTTGTATTTAACTGAATTGAGCAATTTTGGCGTTATCTACCCATCAACAAATCGAACAATGTATCTATTATCTAGTAAATGCAACGTGATGTGGCCACGATCCTGCTGCTGCCTACCGAAGACATATTCGATCTTCTATATTCGATTCATAGCCAATTGAATACCATCAGATAAGGATGACATCACTGGAACGTTTCGCCAAAGGTCTAGATGGACTCAAACACATGACTGATCCGTAAACACCTCTCGTTGTCGTTGTATACTTAAGCGACATTCACATTCTCTTTCGATCCGTTCCTCAACATGACGACGACTTGCGTCGCTAACAAGCTGTGTGCACGCCCTGATTAGTGCGACTTCGTCTAATTGTCGGTTGACGTTCTAGGTCACCCCGTATCGTCTACACGAGCATAATACGTGCGATTGCTGAGTGGCTCGACGCCAAAATTTTCAACGGTGTCTAGGTACTCTCGTCGCTTTATCAAATTATTTACAGGCTAGTCTTAGCGCGACAATAAGTATGACGTCGAGTGGAATCCTTAACGACGGATTTTTAGTGTATAAAGTTATTCCGAACAACGCGTCTGTCATCAGATTTGAACAGCCATTAGTCTGTCGATGCAGCTCCTTAACTGCCGCGATTTAAAATAAATAGCGTTTACGAGCAAAACCGGCCAGCGTCAAAAAAATGATTGCGATTTGCGTATATATTGGCAACGTGAAGACCTAACAAGGCTGGCACTGATCCCTCCAACATCTCCATGCGTTCGGTCGACTTGCACGACGGTAGATCTTTGGCATCCTTTGACTCCAAGCGTCATCGTCGCTGAATGGCTCAAAATGACCTGGAATATGCGCTATCGTGTCCCCTACATCTTTTCTAAAGCAGGGGAAGGAAAATCTACAATCGCCGAACACTTTATGTTCTGTATTATTGTATACCTCCGAGCAACGACGCGAGACAAGGTGATCATAGTGCGTGTAAAGCGGATTCGAGCAGCTAGCTTTGTCGAGGGCCCGACAAGAGTATGTCAAGTGCAGATGCCAATCCACGCATCCGCCCGTCTGTCCGTCATTTTGTAATAAGAAAAAAGCTGTATTAGAAGACTAATGCATGTTCAGACATTAACGTTGTTGAAAGTACAAGCCTGCTATGCAGTGAGTGAAGCAGAAGTGCAACCTGAAATCACGCCAGCAATTATCTCAAACTGCCCGCATGTGCGCATGGCTGCAGCCGCCAAGAAAAACGAAATTTCTGCGGCTTTGAAAGCTTCGTGGATTTGCTCTTCCGCATCGATTGATGCTTTTCGAGAATTAAACGTTTTCGTGGGTTGTGTACACCTTGCTTAATTTCCTGAAGCGGGGACCGACAAGACTCGTCGATGTAGATGTCATATTGAGCGAATTAGACTTTGCTCAAAGAATATTTGCACTCGGTCTTCTCGATGCCTATGAATGTACTTATGTAGCTACCGATTAGATCTCGAGCTTGGAACAATGTTGAATCTAATTGCATAGTGGTAGCGCACACCCTGTCATCCTGCACAAACCCAAGGGTTCTGATTGCATAAGGTGTAGAGTTATACGCCAGGATAATGCTGCCAAATTGGACAAAACTTTTGGACGTTCTCGGGTGAGGTCAAACCTTCTACTTTACCAAGGTATGGTTGTGACGCGTCGATCCGCAAGCCTTTCCATACGAAGGAGGCATAGTCGTGCCTATCGAGCAGTGACAACAATTCTCGCGTAATTAGCTCCTTCGGGCATTCAACTTCTTAAAGGAGGGTGTTGTGTTCATTTTCACTCGCGTCCATAAAGTCGCCGTCCGACTTTCGGGCGCATCTCAGAGGTGCGTAACAGATCAAAATACCAAAGACACCTCAAGCGCTTTAGAAGCAGTCCGCCGATTTGAATCATAAATTCTATCATTTATATGGGTCAGTTGAGGTGTTAATTGTGTCCGATAATACGCTCCTTGTCCGGACGGCTCACAAGTGATGGAAACCAATACACCTTAACTAATCAAGCAAAAGCACGTCATGTTCTCGCACCCACTTGCGCAGTCAAGAGTGTAGCTTAAGATCTTCTCGATTACGATTGTGAATCAGTTTCATTGTGGCAAGGGTTCTAGAAGACTGCATAAATGGTGTGCAAGCAACTTACTGCATTTGATACACCTACGGTTAACTAGTCATATTTTATTCTGTCCTAAGTATTTGCATGTTGTTTCTGCATGTCTTGGCTCACAGCGACGCTCATAATGCTCGATTCTTCGCAATTTGTTTAGATATCTGTATCCTTTATACGGATAGCCGGGCTAATAGATGCTTGCCCTACCAAGATTGGAGCCGCTATAGGAAGAATAAGGCCAGACACGAAAAAGCCGTCATACACTGAAAAGGTCAATAGAAGCTCATTCGAAAACCTTTGATAGCATGGAATGCCGTCTCCCTACTGCGCACAATCGCCATCTAGCATTTTTTCTGGGTGTATTTTCAGTGGGGCTGCCGTAGCTTTGCGCTTTGAGAAAGCGTAAC